CATTTAATATCACAAATGTTCATCGGATGTAATATTTGGTAACAATTAATTTGGCCTTGCAAATAATCTAAAGCACACGCAATTGGCTTTAATAAAATTACAAACTCTTCTAAATACTCTATATCTAAATCATTAAAAACATAATTATCATTAATAGTATTTAAATGTTTGAAAACTTTTGCTTTATTAATAAGAAGTTGAGTAATCGAATCAAATAATGAATTCCACCTTGTTGGACAAAGATAAATTAAAGAACAACCTAATATACTTTTAATAACTTCGGCAGATTTCGGACGTCTTTACACGTTTCACAAAAAATTGCACTTTTCAATGGCTGTTAAATGTAATCTATTAACTGGTAAACTTGTAATAGCTTTCATGAAATCTGAAGTAGCTATCAAGCTTAAAGTATGGCTGGCACATCCCAAATGGTGAGGTAGCTACATAATCGGATCACCGTGAACTGATTTTAAGCATTGATGGAAAAATTCCATCATCCATTGAGCGCCTGAAGAGCAACCATAGAGGAAAACAGAGGACAGATCTGATGTTATACAAAAATGTCCCAGGTAGACCATCAGGGCCAACTTAGTGTACATATTTTAGTGCAGCTAACCCGTTCTCAATATCATTGATACTAAAGATGCAGTCAGAAGGTAAAGTATGCTGCGCAAATGGAATTACAGGCAGGCTACTTGCTGAGGAAGGCGCATAGACTGAGTTAAAGTAAGATGAGAAAAGACTGGAGATGATTCAGGATCAGAGAGAGTCCAGGTTTTGGCGGCTTTCGCCTACGTTCGTATACCTTACCTTAGCCTATGGCTATTCAAGGGATACGTACGATTACGGTCGGATTTTACCCCTCCCGCACGTCTTCAATGTATGGAACACGAGCACCGGCCTGTGACCGTACCCGATTTGAAATTAGCCTTTCGGGGCTTCTTTCCCGTTGGGTCATCGGTTTTGTACTATCCAGCGATTACTCATGCCACAGCCACTACGTTTCAGCCTAGGTAGGCTCCTCAACCTTGAGGGGCACTGTCCTTGGCACGGCGGGCCATGTCAGCTACAGTGGGGCTCCCCTCTTCCGTAGTACCAACTTGGTTTTATCGTTGGTGTCAGATGAACCAACCCGAAGTGATAGTTGACCTATCGTCTCTACCACTATTCTAGCTCCGAAAAACCGGCTAGTGGTCGGCCTTGACGGGGGATATTGATCAAAGATCACGGGTCCCCCTTCCCAACAGGGTGCCTATTACCCTGGATGGTTTCGGTTTCCCTGGGTACCATCGAACCCTCACCTCCCTGTTAATCGCCTCTTACGGTAGGCTGGAAGTCGCCGGCGTCGTATTCTATTCCCCGACACCAGGGGTTTGGACTTAGTTGCGTTATGTTTCCATATCGCACAAAGTCCGCGAGCCTTCTCTTACCTGTCCGATCTGTTGGTTAGGGCCAGCTTGGCGAAACGCCTCAGCGCTTCAAATCTGGCTCTTGAACCAACAAACATTTTCACGTCTTCTGTCCACAGTGTACCATCTCTCGTTATGATTTCTTTCAGTCTTTCCCTGGATTCTTCTGACCTCGGACAATTAAACAGTACATGTTTCGCCGTTTCTAAATCTCCGCAGCTAATGCATGAAAACAATAATAAAACAAACATACCATTTGTCCGCTTATTTCTTTGATCCTCTATACATGCTTAACTCAACTCTAATAGTATGTTTATTTTTTCACGATTGTTGGTATACTATTGTTAAGTTAGAATTATAAATAATTTGGGCATATTTACGATTTTAGGTTATTACACGAATATAGGCAATAAACCTAACCATACGGAAAATACTTATACCGCCGTCAAAGCAAAAAAAGTAAGGCTTCAAAAAGTAAACACATTGGGTTTTTTTTAGAAGTTTAATCGATACACCATACACAACCGTAAGGTTGCATGGTATTACTATAAAAATCTGAACAATAAACACATGGCTGGGCAGTATCTTAGATACTAGTATTTATGATACAATTGTATCTTGTATCTTGTATCGAGATACATAATTTGAATGTATCTTTTATCGGGTATTTAAATACTTTATTGACTTGTATCTAGTATCTTTTTTATGATTAAGATACTAGATACATTCAAAAAATATGTTTCAAATTTCATTTATAAAACAATTTTCCTAATTGACCTATAAGTAATAATATGTTAGATAATAATATATTAGATTAAAGTAACTTTGCAGGTGTCTGGCGATAATATTATATCAGCGATATAAGACTTCGTTGATCACCGGTCGCCGACTGACTGACTGATATCCTCCGTCTGTCTCGTGCGTATTATGCATCTGTGCGGTGTTTGTGTAGACTGACAAAGTGACGAAAAAATCATATTTTGTGCATTATTTTAATATTTGTAAAAATTAATTTAATATCTAAATATATTTTATTAAAAACACGGATAACCAAAATAATGCAATTGTTAATATTCTAAAATGCTTAGATGGCAAATTTTATACGGTTTTAAATGCTGATGAAATAATAAATGCAAATTCTTATGTAAAAGCTATATGTGTAACATGTAAAAAGAAAAAAAAGAAAACAGAATTATTTCAGATATGAAAGCAAGTACCTATTTAAAATATGGAAACAACAATATTGTACAATTAATAACATTTTTTAGAGATTGCATATGTCAGAATTGGAAACATATTGGATACATACTTAAAAGTAGGAGGACGTAAAGGAGCAAATACATCAAATGATAATTCTCAAATTCCAACAAAACAAAGAAAACTAACTGAATATAAAATTACTGATCATAAACAAAAATAAACTGGACGAAAATATTATGAGTTACATTATTCTTGGTATGAAACCACTGTTTACAGTGGAAGATGAAAATTTCATAAAAATATTTAAAGGTAAATCCATCAAATAAAAAATATTATACGATATTATTAATTATTTTATTGCATAGATTTAGATTTTAGATTGTGATCTTACAATATATTCTTGAAGAACTCTTAGTCACCGTATAGATGGTGATTAAATAAAAATAAACGACGCAATTAAAAATTTGTTTGAAATGAAACAGTTGTTGGTCACGACAACTGCTGATATTTGGTCCACCAAACATCGTAGTTTTATGGGTGTTACAGCACACTGAGTATTTAAAATATATTCATATATTATGTATTAATTTAATAATAATTGTATATAATGTGTTAATTTAATGATTTTTATAGATTGATTCAATAATATTAGAACGACAAAGCTGTGTACTAGCATGTAACCCTTTTACCGGAAAATATTTATACGATCGTGTGGCTGAAATATTTTATAACATTTTGGGTGAATTTTCTCTATGGCGTGAACAAGTGGTATCAACAATTACCGATAATGGAAGCAATTTTGTGAAATCCGTTAAAGAATTTGGTTGTGATTTTCGAGTAGAGAATGATTCTGATTATTACGGTAAATATAAAATATTAAATGTATCATAATGAATTAATTATGTTTTGTTACACACTTACACAACTTACACACTATATAATATATATTATACTTATAGGTGAGAATAATGATGTACAATATCTGAAATTTAGACCAATTGCCCCTGATAATAATGCGAATGAAGGTGATCCGATTATGTAGCTACCTCACCATTTGGGATGTGCCAGCCATACTTTAAGCTTGATAGCTACTTCAGATTTCATGAAAGCTATTAAAAGTTTACCAGTTAATAGATTACATTTAACAGCCATTGAAAAGTGCAATTTTTTGTGAAACGTGTAAAGACGTCCGAAATCTGCCGAAGTTATTAAAAGTATATTAGGTTGTTCTTTAATTTATCTTTGTCCAACAAGGTGGAATTCATTATTTGATTCGATTACTCAACTTCTTATTAATAAAGCAAAAGTTTTCAAACATTTAAATACTATTAATGATAATTATGTTTTTAATGATTTAGATATAGAGTATTTAGAAGAGTTTGTAATTTTATTAAAGCCAATTGCGTGTGCTTTAGATTATTTGCAAGGCCAAATTAATTGTTACCAAATATTACATCCGATGAACATTTGTGAGTAGTAGGGAAATGTATGTTCTGTAGCCGCCACCGACACCGGCACCGCCACCGCCACCGCCACCGGCACCTCTCCTCTTCACCGCCACCGCCACCGCCACCGCCACCGGCACCTCTCCTCTTCACCGCCACCGGCACCCACCCAGCCATGGAAATCGTAACCGGTACACCGCTCCCCGCCACCGGCACCGCCACCTCTCTTCTTCACCGCCACCGCCACCGGCACCGCCACCTCTCTTCTTCACCGCCACCGCCACCGCCACCGCCACCCGCCCAGCCATATACCACTGACACTACTCCCCGCCAAACCAAAAAGATCAGGCCGCCGTCCTACTACTCACCTCCCAACCATATATCACCACCACTACTCTCAGCCCAGCCATAGATCGTATATATCTGTATGGAAATGTTTATTAAGCATAATGTCTTGATGGATGTTTTCTCACACACTTGTATATATATGTTTTTTCGCTGGTTAATTTTATATGTAAGTAATTAAAACCAACACGGTGGTCAAAGAATCTGTATGGATTTGTTTATTGAACATAAACGTCACGCATATATATATATATATAATATATAAATTAAACACTTATCTTTACACCTATAGCCAAACAGAAAATTAAACGCATATACCTATATACATGCATATTATACGCGCGCGCGCGCACACACACACACACACACACACAAATTATACTGTTTAAGCATGTGACCCTTTTTTTAAAAATTTTCTGCAAAATTGCATTTTTTTTTTTTTTTATTTTTATTTTTTTATATTATCCCTACTACTCCATTACCCACACCATACTTAATAATATATTATATTATAACAATTAATAATTGAGCGTGTGAATATTCAGTCGCAGTTTTGATTTAACAGTGTCAAGTCTTATAGTATTGATTTAACAGTGTTAAAATGGCAGGACCAATAAGTGAAATGAAACGGGTATACAATTATGTTGCTCCTAAATCGCCTTCCGAACTCATCGATTGCAGTAGTTTTACAATTGACTTTGAAAATCGTAAGTTTTTAAACATGGGATTCGAACCAAATAATCAGTTTGATATCGTGTTGCAAATAATTACTCCATCGCGATATGTAAATATTTCATCAGACTTCTTGAAGCGTATTTTTTCATTAATGGGTAATATTTTATCTCACATTCTCGATCCCGCAGTGAAATACAAAAAAATTATATTTTTGGAATGTGAATTGGTTTTGATCACAAGCATGGTGTATAAGGGAGAGCACGTGTTGGTCATCGAGTCTAAAGAAATAAACGGATGCAGAATTTAATTGAATCGAAATGATCTGATGGCACTTCAAGATTTAGAGTGGGCTATTTTCGAAACTATATCAAGAAAAAACGATATTGTGAAACCTATTATTTTAAACCAACTCGATCAAATATCCGAATTCTTTAAAACCGATTTAAATATTGATAAATCTGTGACACTGGAAGAAGTAAAAACAATAATCAAANATACCTATATACATGCATATTATACGCGCGCGCGCACACACACACACACACACACACACACACACACACACACACACACACAAATTATACTGTTTGAGCATGTGACCCTTTTTTTTTTAAAAAATTTTCTGCAAAATTGCATTTTTTTTTTTTTATATTACAATTGAATAACATTTCGCGATTTACAGACAGTAGATTTTCGACAGTTCTATACAAACATCATATATTTCTTAACACGTTTATATACAGCGCGATTTTAAAACGTTCAACAACATAATTGTTTTTTATCACTTTATTTAATATTTTTGAGTTTAAATATTAACATAATGTTTATTTGTGATACTTGTTATGCGTCTTTTACACGGGGAGATGATTTAAAAAGACATAAAAATAAACACGCGGGCATTCGTTTCTCATGCACTATATGTACTTCAACGTTTAGTCGCAGATCCGCTCGTATTCGTCATATGAAAAATATACATCGTAAGTATATATTGTATTAAATTTAATATTTTTTAATAACTTAATTATTTTACAAAGGAATCACCCATGCAAATAACACTATTGAAATAGCTCCTCAAATTTACGTTTCTAATGAACAGCCTGAACCGTCAAACCAAAATAATGAACCCTCTAATGCGATAACCGAAGATACTATATGTATGGATGCATTTGAAAATGAGGATAATACACGAGGTTAGTTTTTAATAGAGCTAGTCCGATTTATATTGCATTTATAAAATTGATTCGATATATAAACCAATGTTCTAACATTTAAAGCACGTGACATATTACAACATATTATAATAATCAAAGTATCACTATACTTACTAAATAATAATTATATATATATTTATAAAAAAAAAATATATGACTAATATAATACAATTTTATGCAACTTATAAACTTATAGGCATTATGCGTCATAAAGTTGATTTCATACCACCAAAAAATGATGAAAATCTAGGGGACAATGAAATTGACGAAGTGGAAATGGCTCGAACACTAGATAAGTTTACGGAGAACTGTGAATCTAATAGCAAACGAAGTAAAATAACATCAAACGGAGATTCTTTATGGAGCAATAGTATTGATGAAAATGAATTGGTCCGAGCACTAGACAGTTATTCGGAACCCGGAAAAGGTAATTGTTCAAGTTTAATGACATTTTCTTTTAGTTTAATTGGTAACTTTATTTTAGATATTGCACGTGATAATCATAAATCAGTACGCATGCCAAACCATCAGAACGATGTAATCGAGATCGCTCCAAACATATTCGTACCAAACAATGCCCCGACATCTAGCGACGAAAAATCTGAAAATGTATGTGGTAATAGTGTCAAAGAAGGAGAAATGGACATCATCTGTGATAAAGGTATGATTTCTTTACATTATCAAGTTATTTAGAAATATACTTTTAGCTAAGGGATATATATATATTATATTTGAAGGTATTAATTCCAATCAAACAAACACCGATGGTTCAAATAAACGCAAACGTATGAATAATTATCCGGCTTCAGCGTCCGGTTTTGTTAAAGTTGCGTCAGCGTTTAACGGGCTTTGTAACGAATATTTTAAAAAGAACAATAAAAATATAAAAGATTATGACGTTTATTTGAAGTTGTTAAAACTCAAATAAAGGATCTATTAGAAACTGAAATCCTGTCATGCCCCATAAAATATAGTATAACAGTAGAGGCAACGTATGGTATACCACATACTAATATGACATCAAATAGAGCATTTAAAACTAAATGTTTACCTTTGTATTTAAGTTGTAATATAGACGATAAATTAGATCAAAATTTCATAAAAATTATTCAAGAGGAAAATGATATGAAGTTAAAAGGGAGCGGATACACTATCATATCCATTGATGGTATTTTAGTTAATATAAATAAGTATACGCCCCTAGGAGGAGGAGGAGGAGGAGGAGGAGGTTCATCTTATATTAAACTGCCGGGTTGTATTGAAAATAAAAAAGCTATAGTAAACACTAAAAACACGGACGAAAAGTGTTTTAAGTACAGCGTTTTAGCAAAACACTTAAATGCTAGCAGTGCATGCCGAGTAGGACAGCATTTTGATGAAATAGAAAACATGTATGATTTTTCAAAATTAAACTATCCGGTGCAAGTGAAAGATATAAAACATAAATTTGAAGCTCATAATCCTAACGTTTCGATCAACGTATATAGCCTCAAACGGGGGGTACTCAGCTATAAAAATAATATACAAACAGCTAATATTTCAAGAGTCAAACGTTTTAAGAAAAAATCTGTACAATATATTGTTTACCCGATAAAAGTGTGTGTAGAGGAACTCGAGGACCACCACGACCTATTATTATTTGGAGACGGTACCGGTAAACAACATTATTGTAGGATTACGAGTCTTTCAAGGCTTGTACGATCGCAGATTACATTACATACTAGCTGTGCTGCAATATGTAAAAGATGTTTTAAGAGCTACTCGGCGGGGATAGGCGTTACTAGTGCTGAACAACGGCTGGCTGACCATATGCTGTTATGCAACAAAAACAAACCTCTACGGCCCAAAATGCCTCCACCAAACACGTTTATGAAATTTGAAAATTATGAACGGACGCAAAAACATCCATTCGCAATATACGCTGATTTCGAATCTCTTCTAGTTAAACAAAATAACTCCAATAATACAAGAAATACCAGCATAATTCATAATCATGACTTGATGAGTTATTGTTACTATATAAAACCTTCCGAAGATATTCCAATCGAACTACTGAATAAATATAATATTTCAACCGAACCAGTAATGTTCAGAGGAGATTCTAGTTTGGGCAAAGGAGATGTTGCAAAGAGGTTCATGGAGGACATTGTGGAGGTCGCTAAGAACATAGAAAAATTATTACAAACTAATGTACCCCTTACAATGACTATGGAGAACAACAAAACACACAGAGATATTGTAGATCTAGGGACCTGTCCGTGTTGCAAATCAAAATTTAATGACAATAATTTACCTGTACGTGATCATAATCATTTAACTGGGGAGTACAGACATACAGTTTGTAATAATTGTAACTTGAAAATGCAACAACCTAAATTCGTTCCATGTTTTTTTCATAACTTATCCGGCTATGACTCACACTTTCTCATTACACAACTAGGTTATGACACACAATTGATAAATGTAATACCTAATACTGAAGAAAAATTTATATCATTTACGAAGTATATTTCTAACACATTCAAAATAAGATTTGTCGACACATATCGTTTCATGGCATCTAAATTAGAAAACCTTGCTACCAATTTAGCACGAAGCGATATCTCAAAGTTTAGAGAAACTACAAAAATATTTGGCGTAAATGATTTAGACCTAGTGACTCGAAAAGGTTTCTATCCGTACGAGTATACGGATAGTTGGGAAAAATTAAATGAAACTAATTTACCAGCAAAAGAACATTTTTATAATTCACTAACAGAAGAGCACATATCAAATGATCACTATAATCATGCCATGGAAGTCTGGAACCGATTCAACTGCAATACTTTGGGTCAATATAGTGATGTATATTTAAAAGTAGATGTCATGTTGCTTGTAGACATTTTTGAAAACTTCAGAGAATTATGTTTGGAGACGTACGGATTGGACCCCAACTATTATTTTACTGCTCCAGGGATGTCGTTTGATTGCATGCTTAAATATACTGGAGTAAAACTTTCACTTTTGTCAGATTATGATAAAATATTGATGATGGAAGCAGGCATCAGAGGTGGGTTAACACAGGCCGTGAAACGTTATGCCAAGGCCAATAACGTGAAGGTCCCCGACTATGACCCATTGAAACCTGACTCATGGATTATATACTTGGACGCAACTAATCTGTATGAGTATATTTCAGGTTATTTTTATATTAAATGATTTATTTATATTTTGTTATATAGTTATGGATGGGCAATGAGTCAGTTCATGCCCAAGGATGGATTTGAATGGTATGAAGACGACTTAAGTGTTGAAAACATTTTAAATTTGTTGGAGGGCATTAACGAATCCTCAGAGGTGGGATATGCATTGGAAGTCAATGTGTCATATCCATGTTCTCTGCACGATGACCACAACGATTTGCCATACCTTCCAGAAAGAATAGTCCCACAGGGTTCAAAAATTAAAAAACTTGTTGCAAATTTAGAATCGAAAAAAAATTATATTGTTCATTATATGGCTTTAAAACAGGCGCTTGAAGCAGGACTGATATTGGAAAAAGTGATTATTTTTATTTATTTTTATTTATTGTAAACAATTTTATTTAACTATTTCTACAGGTTCATAGAGTTTTAAAGTTCAACCAATCTCCATGGCTTGCTAAGTACATAGATTTGAACACTACTATGCGAAAAAACGCGTCAAATGATTTTGAAAGAGATTTTTTTAAACTTATGAACAACGCTGTGTTTGGTATTTTAGTATACAACTTTAAAAAAACTGTTGAGTTATTATATTTGACGTTTTTTCCAGGGAAAACAATGGAAAATGTTAGGAACAGGATGAAGATGGAGCTCGTTTCTGATGATAAAAAATATGCAAAGTTGATCAATAGAACTACATTTAAAAACATAACAATATACAATGAAAACCTCGCAGCCATACATTTAGAAACTGACGAGTTAAAATTTAATAAACCGATATATGTAGGGTTTTCGATATTGGACATTTCAAAGACTTTAATGTACGACTTTCATTATGGATCGATGAAACACCACTATGACAAAAATATTGAACTTATGTATATGGATACAGGTAATATATTATATTATACACTTTGAATTCAACTAATATTTATTTATTTTTTTTTGAACTATTTCAGATTCTTTTGTATATACCATCAATACTAAGGATTTTTATAATGATCTAAGGCAAAACCGACATTTATTAG